CGTTGATTTCGTTCTGTACTGCTGGACGCTGTACATCTGTGCGAACGCCTGTTCTGTCGCTACAAACGAGACGGTACCACGCGATATTATATTGTCAAAAGAAAAAATATTGGTTAAGTTTCAAATTTAGTATTTCAACCGACTCTACGGATGATATTTTCGAAAAGAACTGGTTGAAAGGTAAGATTAATTACAAGTATTTTTTTTACTTAAGCATGCTGGCAAATTAACTTTTATCAGTTTACACTTTAATTTGTGATATATTACTACAATGATTTAATTTATCTAGAATTGTTAATTTAAGAAGAACAATTAAAAAATATTTTTTAATAAGATAACATACCTAAAGAAACAAAGATATTCAATGCATTTGTAAAACTTGCTATCTTACGTGTCCACGCAAACAGAACAATTGGGATCGATATTAAACTTTTGATAACTAGGTATTTACTATTAGGTATCGACTACCTATTTATTACCTACACTGTTCTTTACATATTCATTTCGTTATAATAAAGATCACTTGTACATTCACAGATTTTTTATTTCATATTTTTATTGTACGAAAAGTTAATGCTTATAATGAAAAGCTTTTATGCCTAATGTTAGCGGTTATGTTTAGCCTCGGGTGGGGCATTTTGAAACAGCTGCATCTATTTGTGTATCTGTAACATTTTTTATTACACCCATATGTGATAACGCGAAACAAGGTCACAACTTAATTATGTACATAAGAGAAAAGTAAATTATGGACATGTTGAGTATAGTAACATTGTACTACTTTAAAAACTTTTAGTCAATAAATCTAAATCATTTTTTTATTTTACTTATTTAACTACCTATACGACAAGTCGTCCAAATAAGTAAACATTTTTAAAATCTACCTATCAATGTATCTCTCTGTTGGCCATAAATATTAATAATAATTGTCACACTCGAATTATAAAAATACTAACGTACATATCTACTTATCTGGCCGAAAATGAAACTGTCGACAATCAACACACATGTGTAACTGCAGTTGGTGCCACGAATATGCCGGCATTAAATATTACGTAATGTTTACTATTATGTAAATATTTGTTAATATCCTAATATGTACCTTCTCATAATAAATTAGTACATACAGCTATGCGTTGGTAATACTGTAAAAACAAGGATTCCGACTAATCCTAAAATTACCAAATCGATATGGTCAACCTACGCGTCGAAAAAGTTACATCTTTTTCGAGCATTCACAGGGGAATCATAATGTAATATTTCAAACTTTTGCCAAAAGCCTGTTACGGTGTCTTCGCTTAAACTGTTTGAGCAATTATGCTGGGATAAAAAACATGTGTATTTTATATTTTTCGGTGTGAGACTACGATACGATTTCTTGTTTTGTTGATTCACTTTATCACTTAACCTTGATATGTTTAGGCTTTCCGCAAATGTATATGCGCATGGCTATAAAACCATATTAAAATAAACAAAAATAATACAGTCACACCTCACAACACCCATTACTATTTAGTTAAAGAATTCTACGGTTAGAAAATAAACTAAAGTTTGTATCAACTAAATGATTTTTTTTCTATTAATTTGATAAGCCAAGTTTTATTTGCAATACTAATTTTACAGTATAAAAACCAAAAATGTGCGGCTGCGTAAGAGTGCTTAGTATTCGTAAGCCGCTGCCCCGATCTTGGCACCGAAGGCTATTCAGCTCATCATCAACACCGCCACCTCCCCAAGGTGTGCCCTACACCAAACTAACTGTTGGAGTACCGAAGGAATTATGGCAAGGCGAGAGAAGGTATGTTACTCAAATTACATGTGTTTCTTAGTATAAAGTAAGATTTTGATACATTTTTATCATTCCCAGGGTTGCGGTAGTGCCAGCAGTAGTTAGTAAATTAGTAAAGAAAGGTTTTAGCGTAAACATAGAGGAAAATGCTGGAGTCTTAGCAAATTTTCCTAACAAGGCATACGAAGAGGCTGGTGCCAAAATAACTAGTTTAAAGGATACATATCAATCTAGTTGGTATTATTTTCAAAATAATTAATAAACAGTGAGTATCTTTCCCACCGCGGAAAATCTTTAACATATTCTATTTTTTTTAGATATAATTCTCAAGGTTCGTCCATTTATCGAAAATGAAGTACCAAATGTAAATGATGGAAGTTCGGTTGTATCTTTCTTGTATCCAGCACAAAATCAGGAATTAGTCAAAAACTTAGCAGCGAAAAAAGTAAATGCATTCGGTAAGTTTAAATATGCAGCACGTTATTTTCCCTTCTGGTCAGTATTTTGATCTCGCGTATTTTTTTAGCTATGGACTGCG